AGGTCAACGTCACACTTCAACGTTGATTCAATGACACAGCCTGATATTGACTCAACATTGTTTCAATGTTTCCTTGCTATCTGGGATATTACTAATCTAACAGCACCTACACAGATCAGTGAAGGGGAACTTACCCGGAGGCAGAAGATCTCGGAGCCGTGCATCCGGATGGCCGTGTGCTGCCACGACAGGTACTCATTGACACGAGCACGCTGCTGGAGGTCAGCTGGGTACCAGAAGTCGGGAGTCTTAAACTTCTCAGCCAGGTACAACATGATAGCAATGCTGCAGAGAAGACATCACTGTGACCGTCACGGCAGACCAGCGCTTCCTCAGCTCACGACTTTTTGACATAATCACCTTTCAGCCAGGCAGAAGTCTCCATCTCTGAGAGCTGGGACCTTCCTGATCAGGCTGATCTTCCCAAAGTCCTCCCCATACTGCTGGCCTGGGACCAACACACGCGCATGCACACGCACACATTTTAATAGCAGATATTTGGAAGAATCACATGATCATCGTGGACATAACCAGACAGCGTCAGGCAGTCTTATCAGTGCGGACCGACGGAGCAGCTGCTCTGCAAGCAACGGAACCCAAGTTCAAAGAAACCCTGATCTACACCCTCACAGACTCACAACTCAGACCTGTGCTCGTCCAAACCTCCTTACTGCTGCTGTGAACGGTCACACTGGCGACGTTCTTCGTGTCTGCGTGCGTGAACTCACCGTCCAGCAGAGAAAGCTTCTTGAAGTCGAAGCTGATGTTGTTCTTCTTGGCGAAAATGTACACGGAGCGGCAGGGCTGCGAGAACAGGTCCAGGTAGAGCTCCAGCGCCATAGCTGACGGTCCTGTGTCGGCTCCTTCTGAGCAGGGTGCGGACACCAAAGAGTTTAAAGCCCTCTAAGATAGTTGGCGCCCCGCCCCCTGCTGTCGTGTGCCTCACCCTGATAGTGGAGTTAATGGCGACGGTAAAAACATAAGCGTGTTTAAAAAGCACACAAAATGTGTTTAAACACACGTTTTAAAGTGTTTTCAAACACAAGGCGTGTCCAGTGACACCAGCAGCTGCAGAGCACTGGCTGGGTTCACTCTCCTGGAAACAAATGAAAAAATAAACTGCGCTTTGAATCTACCAGTAACTTTTACCAACAGCCTTACATGAGACGCACTTAGTATCTCAAAGCTGTGCTTGAGGTCCAATCTGTTTCTATCAAAGGTGAAGTGCATTAAGCATGTGAGTGAAGTTGGCCCCCCACCTTCTTCAAATCCAACAAAAGTGGTATCAAACGTTTGTGCTGCAAACATCTTTGTTTGTGCTGCTATCATTTTAAAAATATTAATAAAATAACATCTTGATGCGTGCTTAATCTTCCAGGTAAGTAAATCCCAAAAGGTTGATTCCATGCGCATGCAAACAGCTCGTCTCCACTGCTTTAACTGTTAAACAGAGGCAACACTGCGGCTGGCAGGGTTTATTATGTGGAGCAGCAGCTTGTTTAGTTTAAACAGTCTGCATTAAGCTGGGCAAACACTGCGATTTTTTTCAGTCCCGTTATTCAGCTGCTGCTCAAACTGTACAATTGAATCTCAGGGGTTAGAAGTTCATAGGTCACAATGCAGGTCTCACACTATACAGCCTGATGCTCTGATGCGACCTGAGTGCTCACACTGTGCGTCCATAACATGAAGCTTATCATACAAAAGCTGTCTCTCGCTCTCCCTCGCTCTGTCTTTCACACACACAGACACACACACAGAAATCAGAAATCAGAAAGGGTTTATTGCCAGATGTTGAGCAGGTTTACAACATTAGGAAATTGCTGCGGTGCTTCAGTGCAACATA